TAAGCTTAAAAGGCAACGTTTAAAATTGTAAGTGAACTTGTCCCTACTTAAAGCAACAGATGCACAAAAGGAAACATGTCAAAATGTTCAGTTTTGCTCTATGGGCATATAGAGCCTCCGTGAGCAACTGTTCTCTCCTCTCTGGTTCCAGATATTTGGTCTGAACCCTGGTGTCACTAGATTTGACTGGCCTGTGGCCCCTGACCCCAAACCTCTTCTCCTTCAGATTAATCACTCCTCGCCCAGCTTCTGCAAACCTTATGTTCATTCCTCCCTGAGAATCGCTTGTCCTGCCACAGGGTCCTTCATGGCCCCGTCCCTCCTCTCCAGGCCCCAGCCCCTGTCTGTTCCTTCGTCAACAGTCTTCTCAGTGTCTCCCTGCCTTCCCACTGGCTCCGTCCATTTATCCTGGCCCTGCCGGCAGAGAGGCAGTGCTTGAATATTACCATTTGACCTGCTAAGAATTCTCCAGTGGGCCCTCTCACCTGCAGGATAAGATCTGAGCTTCTAAGTGCAGCAGACAAGGCCCTTTCTGATCTGGCCCCAACCTGCCTCAGCTCCTACCGGTCAGGTCACCTCTCCTCCCCTCCCCCATGACCCCGAAGTCCAACTCGCTGTCCTGCCCTTACCCCTGGCCTACACACCACTTTGGTGACTGCTCTGACACTGTGGACGCCCTCAGGGCCAGGGTTCCAGCACCCAATCCTCAGTGCCCGAGGTTCCTCAACCTTCCGCATCATCACTGTGTATTTCCACCACCAGCTCCTCCCCACCTCGGCCCGAAATGCTCTCCCCCTCGACTCTCCCCAAGTCTAACCCTGCTCTGTCCAGCATGCCACGCTGGCTACCTGTGGCTCCTGAGCTCTTGAAACGCCACTGGCCCGACCGGAGACGTGCTGCACACGTACAGTACACATGGGATTTCAAAGACTTGCTATCAAAAAATGATGGAAAAAACTGAACATTTTACTTTCATTACCTGTTGATGTAACACATATTAGATGTATGGGGTTAAAAATATATATATATTATTAAAATTAATTTCACCTGTTTCTTTTTACTTTTTTAGATGTGGCTACCAGAGCATTTTTAATCACACCTGTGGCTGACATCTATTTCTATTGTACAGAACAAGTCTAACCATTCTTCAGGGTCTTCTCCTTCAAGATGCCCCTATCTTTGTTCTTAATGATCTTTTCTGCCCCTAGAAATCCTATAATGGAGTCCACCGTATATAAGCCACTATCTAATTACATAACACATTACGTGCTTACTAGTATTTTACATCTATTCTTCCTGCCACATCAATGCCATTTCTAAATCCTATTTTGGGACTCACAGTAGGCACTCAACTTGTAATTAGACATGGAATCTTTGCTGCAGCAAGACAGCAGTTTACAGAATGTTTTTTTAGTTTTGTTTTGTTTACTTATTTATTTTCCCAAGGATGATTTCAACAATGTAAGGAGACCTGGGAGTCAGGGGACCTATCAGCTCTTTGTTCTTCCTCTAAATTACATAATTCATACACAACGTTGAGTGCATGGCTTGGCCCCCAGTAAGCCCTGCCTGTGTCTCAGTTTCCCCTCCCCCTTTAAAATAAAGTTAAGGGCTTCCCTGGTGGCACAGTGGTTGAGAGTCCGCCTGCTGAGGCAGGGGACACAGGTTCGTGCCCCGGTCCGGGAAGATCCCACAGGCCGCGGAGCGGCCGCGCCCGTGAGCCATGGCCGCTGAGCCTGTGTTCCACAACGGGAGAGGCCACAACAGTGAGAGGTCCGCGTACCGCAAAAAAATAAAATGAAATAAAATTAAAATTAAATAAAATAAAGTTAATAATACCAGGCCAATCTACAATATATAGGCAGGTCAAAGTAGCTAAGCAAGTTCTAACTGGAGTCATTATCATGATATGAAGAAATACTCTACTTTTCACAGCTAACTGTATCTTTCTCAGCCAGCTGTCTTAAATACAGACTAATTTTTATGAAGAGGGAGCAAATCCATCACAATTATTAAAATAAGAAAGGAGAAGGGACAACCTATGAAAACGCTTGTCCTATCCTACTAACGACAGGAAAACAGTAATGACAGAGGAAACTGTTACATGTCCACTCCAAGCTGAAGTAGCTTATACATCACACTCACAATAACCTTTATGAGGCAGACATCACCATACCCATTTACAGAGTAAAGAAACTAAGGTTCAAAGACAGGCTGAGTAATTGGTCCAAAGTCATGCAGCTGCAGGCTACAAATCCAGGTCAAGTGCTATTAACTTTGTATGTAAAAAATAACATCGTTATTATCACTGGAAAATATATGAAAAGCAAGAGTATTATCAAAACATACAAATAAAAATACAATAATAATTTCTATTCATTTCCTTCAAATAGTTTCTTTTTTTTTTTTTTGCAAATATACTTTTTTTTCTCCCAGTTTTATGGAGACATAACTGACATGTAGCACTGTATAAGTTTAAGGTGCACAGCATAATGATTTGACTTACATACACCATGAAATGATTATCACAAAGTTTAGTGAACATCCATCATCTCGTATAGATACAAAAGGGATGAAATAGGAAAAAAAATGTTTTTCCTTGGGATGAGAATGCTTAGGATTTACTCTTTTAACAACTTCCATATGCAACATACAGGAGTGTTAATTACAGTTACCATGCTGTACATTACGTTCCTAGGACTTATTTTATAACTGGAAGTGTGTACCTTTTGACTAACTTCATCCAATCATCCCCCCACACCCTGCCTCTGGTAACCACAAATCTGGTCTCTTTTTCTTTTTCTTTTTAATTTTTATTGGAGTATGGTTGATTTACAATGTTGTGTTAGTTTCTGCTGTACAGCAAAATGAATCAGTTATACATATAAATATACATATATCCCCTCTTTTTTAGATTCTTTTCCCATATAAGTCATTCCAGAGTATTGAGTAGAGTTCCCTGTGCTGTACAGTAGGTCCTCATTAGTTATCTATTCTACATATAGTAGTGTGTATATGTCAACCCCAATTCAAATAGTTTCTTGATCTTGGCTAAATCCTATTTTTCAGATGAAAAGGACTTTTTTCCTAGTAGACTTTTCCTTAAAGTAGCAAACCAGTAGGATATGCGACGTGGTGGGACTAGTACGTTGCTGTACTATTTTTCTTTAAAGCCTTTCAACCACAGTCGTTAAGTGAAAGTTTACATGAAACATTATGAACTAGAACTCCTCAGACACACTTACAAAAATCCAGTACCTACAGATAAGATTACAGTAATAAATGTAGTAAACTGGGCCAGTCCACCAGCGATGCATCAACAAAAACCAACATACATAAGGAAATATCACAGAGCCTCTCCACGCTGCAAAACTGAGGTCAGATGGCTCAATGAAAGGACAAAAGAAAGTTCCTCAAAATAAGACACACATCTTCAACTGAAACCACAGAGCCTTGAAAACTAACTACTTTCTCAGAACAGTAACAATGTACTGTGTGTCTCTAAGAAAACGAACATCTAGGTTTAATTGCGTCTGCCTTTGCAAAATGTAGCCAACTTAATCCTGTAGACTTGGACAGAACAAAAGTTCAAGCTCTCTACCACAGAAAAAGTCCCCAAGTATCAACTGCTTTAAAATACCACTCTACTCTCCTTTATCAAAAAATGTCCCTGGCAGGAGGCGTTATCAGTCACTACTAAGAACCCCACACAATGCGTCCTGTGTGCTCCTGGTATTTTAGTACAGGAAGTAGAAAGTTCAGTTTACCAAGAACACCGAATTTCACTTACAAAAGTCTTGAAAACTAATCCCTCTAACAGCACTTAATTTACATTTCATTCCAAGCTGACCCAGACGGGCGGAATCTCAAGGAATCCGAGAATGTAAAAAACTTCACTTGGCAAAACCAGGTGTGTGGATTTGTTGTTTTCCTTAGAGGTACTTCACGGAGTATAAATAGAAATCATTTGCAAATTTTAATCTCATGAACAAGATCTTTATTTAAAATTCTCACCTATATGATGAATTCTGTTATACCATATTTCCTCAAGTGACAGACACATTAAGACTTTGTGCCCTAAATCAGGTGATTTTGCTCATTTTAAGAATAAAAAAAAGACATCTAGAAGAAACATAAAGTATCTTTTTCTCAGCCCGCAAATAACACAAAGACAAGTCTGTCTATAGACAGCAAAGGTGTTTCCACCTTAAACACAAGTTAAGACTAAGGAGGTAAGAAGAGAAAACAAAACAGCATAGCAAACCAGCTACAGATCACAGGTGGCAGGGGAGAGGAAGCCCTGGGAACACTTCACACCCACAGGGGTGAGTTTCATCCCAGGTCAAGTGCAGGCCGACCTGGGCTCTGCAGAACCTCCACCCAGAGGGCTCATAAAAACGGAAGAAGGCACATAACCATCAGTGTCATCCTGACAATAAAGGAGAAGCAGCCTCCTTGAACCCAGGAAAGTCACCCCTCCCTCCAAGCAGACACGAGGAGCCCCCTTCATACCAAGAACACAAAGAAAATGAAGCAGCCAGACCCATGGGAAGAGAGACGGCACTTAAATTTATCCCGGGGCCACTTGGGGGCTCAGTCTGTTCGGGGATCGGACTCAAAAGTAAAAATAAAATTAAAGTGGGGGGGGCGGAGGAGATGACAGTTCAATTAAGTCCGTGCTGGGACCACTTGGGGTCTCAGTCTACTTAGGGTCTCGGACTTAAAAATAAAAATTAAAAACTGGGAGGGAAGATGACAGTTCGATGTGTGCGTGAGAGGACCCCCGGGCGTCCAGGGTTTGCTGGGGAGGGGACCGTCCCGGCCGCGCCCGACCCCGAGGCCACCCGGCGAGAATCTGGGGTAAGTTTACACTAGAGGGCGACGGGCAAGCCCGCGGGCCAGGCTGCCCGCTTCCCGGGAACAACGCCGGGGCCCGGGCAGAGGGTCTGCGCCCCCCGCCCCGGCATCCCGCCCCGAACCCCGCCCGCGCCGCGCCTCACCCAGCAGCGCTCGCAGGTGCTTCAGGCGGGTCAGCACGTCCTTCTTGGGGTCCAGCACCTTCTGCGTGGACTTCTTCACATCCCCGTGGCTCCTTCGGGAGAACATCCCGCCGCGGGGAGCCCGGGCCCCGCCGGCGGGGCAGGAGGCGCCTGCGCCGCGCGAGTCACCGCATAGAGTCTGGCCGGCGCGTGTCTCCCGGGCCGCCCGCCGCCGCCCGCCGCCGCTACGGCTGTGGCTCCAGGAAGGAGGGGCGGGCCTGGCCGGCGAGGGGCGGAGCAGGAAGGCGGTGTCGACGCTGAACCCATCGCCCCGCCCCACGGGAGGTGCCGTCCGGCCCCTGGGCGCAGCGCACGCGCGCGTCGTCTGGACCCGCCTCGCGGGGGCGCGCCCGGGCTCCGAGGAGGCGCCGCGAATCACAAAGAAGCGGGCCCCGCGCACACGCTGTACTCCAAGTCCCGGGATGCACCGCGACAGAGCCCTACAATCAGGCTGGCGCGCTTTCGGCGCGATGAGAGTCAGTGGGCCGGCTCTGAGCACGTGCCCCCTCTCCACCCCTCCGTGGGCCGCAAGTGCTCCTGGGAAAGGTAGTTCTCCAGGAGGCGAGACCCTGAGACCACATTTCCAGGGTCCCAGTCACTGGGCAGCATCCGCCCGCCCTCTACCCCAGGAGGCCCAAGGCTTCTGTATCTGTAGTCTCCGGCCTGTGCGCCCACCCAGTTCCCTCTAGTGCAACGTGAACCACAGAAACTCACAACAGGGAGTGAAGGAGCGAGTGGAAATCCCGTTGATCATACCAAAATCGGAGCTCCAATTACACACTAAAATGAATGGCTTTGGCAGTAGGGAAGGGCATGCCTAGGCTCTGGGAGAGGAGGCCAGCCCCACTCCCCTTGGTTCCTGGGACCCGTCTTCACTTGGGATGTGAGAGTGCCTCACTGGCAGGTTCCTCAACGTCTTGCCTCTTGCTTTGTAGGAAGTGCACGTTCTCTGTGTTGTGCAAGGCCACCTAGCAATACAGTAGCAGAACCAGAAATAGAACCTGAGGGACCTTACTCTCAGGCTGGGATGCTTTTTAAGGCCAGGTGCCTGTAACCTGAGGCAAGACTTTGAGATGGAAGATGGTCTGGAGATCTGCAGGGTTATTTATTGGCATCTGGATCTTTTGATGCTTCAAATTTTGACAACATTTTAGCAAACACTTAAGCTGGCTGTTTAAAATCACGTGATCTCCATCAAATTGGGACAGCACAACTGTCTTTTCCTCATTCGGCTAAACTGTAACTTGGGGGAAGAGCCAGCGATTTACACAGCCTTCTAGCCTCATCGCTGGGCACTGTATTTGACCTCGAAGCACTCAATAAAAGTTCGTTAAATAAAATGGGATAAAAAGCTAAAATAATCCTACATATTTAATCCAGGCATGCAAAAAATATCTCTTGGTTGTTAGATCCTCTATTTTTCAAGTTACCAAATAGCACTGATAGAACTGGGATATATTCATACAAAGGAATGTTACTCAGCAGTAAAAAGGAATAGACAACCAATAAACCCAATGGCATGGATGAATCTCAGACCCAGAGATGGAAGCCCCACACTCAGGATGACAGAACTGCCCTACCAGCCTGGGTCCCTGGATGACCTCTCCATCAGGACCACAAACCCTCCAAGACTGTCACAAGAGTGAAATAACCTTCTCTCTTAAGTCAAAGCATTCTGGGTGTCTTTGTTGCAGAAATTTAGCCTGTACCTGGCTACACATAGTAAGTCACAATATTCACCGCACCATTCTTTTAGGGGAAGATAACTTTCATTGCATTGATGGAAAAAAAATAGGATGCACTTGTCTTAGGGAATTCAATTCATCTATCGCAGGTCAACCTATCATCAAAGTCAAACATTTGTTGAGCACCTGCTATGTGCAAGTCATGAGTCTACACCTTGGGGATAAAAAGCTGTATAAGATGCAGCCTCCTTACCTCCAAAGCTTCCAATTTAGTTGAGAGGCAGAGCAGCTAGATAAATGAAGAGATAAACAACAGTGTTCAGTGAACACATGACATGGTCAAAACTTGGTAGTAACAGAAATAGGCATTCATGCATACAGGTTCATCTCATCCATCGTATCTAGCCTTTACTCACTGATGAAAATGTAGAACTCCAGGTCTTCTCTAAAAAAATCAAGAAACATAAGTTATTATTTTGAGGTTTTTCACCCACCCACCATGTATATATATTCCATGTGAAGTAAAAATAAATAAAAACACTTCTTATTCTCTGTTGCTCCACAAAATCGTTCCTGCTAGACTGTGAACTTCTTGAGAACATCACCTGCTTTGCAATCGATTTTTATCCCTGGAGGTTCAGAGTGCCAAGTATTTTGTAGACTCTTGAGTACTGTTGAAAAAGTGTCCTGCTGTCATCAATAAATACAGATAATGAAATCAAGAGTTAAAAATTTACAATGTAAATTAAGACTACCCTGAAATGCTATTTGGATTTGCAAAAAAAAAAAAAAAGCAAAAACAAAAACAAAAACATGATTTGACAACACACTCTGGTAGCAAAGCTGTAGAGAAACACAGCTAATAGGAGTGTAAAATAGTACAACTCCTATGGGGGAGAATTTGGCCAAATTACAGAAACTTGCTCTTTGACACAAATCCTACTTCTAAGAATCTACTCTGAAGATATACCTCCACAAATATATAAAACCACATGTGGAAGGTTATTCCTTTAGCATTATTTATAATAACCAGTATAGCAGGGTGAACAGATATGTCCATGTCCTAATCCCCAGAATGTGTGGTTGTGACTTTTTTGGAAAAAGGATCTTTGCAGATGTAGTCAAGTCAAGGATCTCAAGGTGAAATCATCTTGGATTATCTGGCTGGGCCCTAAATCTAATGAGTGTTCTTATAAGACACAGAAGAGAAGGCACACAAAGAAAGAAGAAGGTGAAAACAGAGGCAGAGATTGGAGTCATGTGACCACAGCCAAGTGACCCCTGCAGTCACCAGAAGCTGGAAGGAGCCAGGAAGGAGTCTCCCTAGGGGTTTTCCAGAGGGAGCCTAACCTTGACTTTGATTTCAGACTTCTGGACTCCAGAACTGTGTGAAAATAAATTTCTGCACATACGTGCACACCGGAGAGTAGCTGACTGAACCCAGCCCATCCACATAAGGCAGTGCTATGCAGGGCTGTGCCACCATAAGAAGTAATCAGAAAATGTCCTATGTTCTCATTTTACTTCATTCATTCATTCATTCGTTAATATCTCAGTCAGCATAATTAGAGAATGTTGTTCAGTACAATGGGTTTGATTTAATTAACATACCGTGCACCCATATTTTAAAATTCTAACCTTCTTGGGCTTCCCTGGTGGTGCAGTGGTTAAGAATCCACCTGCCAATGTAGGGGATACGGGTTCGAGCCATGGTCCGGGACAATCCCACATGCCATGGAGCAGCTAAGCCCGTGTGCCGCAACTACTGAGCCCACGTGCCACAACTACTGAAGCCTGCACACCTAGAGCCCGTGCTCCGCAACAAGAGAAGCCACCGCAATAAGAAGCCCACGCACCGCAACGAAGAGTGGCCCCTGCTCACTGCAACTAGAGAAAGCCCACGTGCAGCAACAAAGACCCAACTCAGCCATAAATAAATAAAATTTATTTTAAAAATATTCTACCCTTCTTTTCTCAGAAATCTTTCTAAAATATACCTCAGTTTTCCCCATCTTACTTTTTATTGCGTTATAATTGACACACAGTATTCTATTAGTTTCAGGTGTACAACATAGTGATTCTATATTTTTATGCATTACGAAATGATCACCATAATAATCTAGTTACCATCTAGATTGTCATCAGACACAGTTATTCCAATATTATTGACTATATTCTCTATGCTGTACATTAATCCACATCTCCTTAAACAGACTGTTCATTGTTTATGAAACCATCATTTATCTCCCCCCACCACTCTGGCCCCCTGCATCTCTTCCTTCATTGGTGTTCCTACTAGCAACAAAGGAGAAATACCTCGTAGGCTTCCCCCATCTAATTTTGACCATATCTTGCCCCAAAACTCAGTCATTGCTATCAGAGACAATTTGTTCGTCTTCTTAACTTCCACAGTTGGAATCATTCCAAATACTTAGATCTGCCAGCTCTGTGGTTTCCAGGTAACCTACACATTAATGTATTTTATTTCCAAATATTTCATGCATCAGAATTTTTCAGATTGGAAGATTTTTTTTTAGATTGACTAAAATACCTCATGCCTGCATGTTAATCCTGATAGTCATGAATATTATGTTAATTTTAATATCTGGAAAAAATCAACTTTCAGCCTCAAATATTCCTGTCAGTTATGTTCATTGTGCCTGTCCTCCAGCGTAAGATGTTTTAATGGGTCAGACATACTGTGGATCTTCATTTGAATGTTATTGCTGCAAACATCAACCCCAGGTTGTCTGTTTTATTGATCATGGGACACTTTGCATTCTTATTTCCTTACAAAAAGCTACAACCTAATAAATTCAGGTATTTTTTCTTGTATCAGCTTTCACCCTGAAACATTGACTTAAGGTATTCAATATGTATCTTGTGCTCCTGAGACTCTACTCCTACCTAAAATTCCCAGAAAAGAAGAGATGACGACACTTCATAAGAATGAAATGCAAAACCCAGTCCTTAAGAAACAAGAAACCTAAGGTCTCTGTTTTCCAAATGATGTATTACTGTTACCCTAAAAATATATGTTTTCTCCTCCAAAAATATTTCCCATTAGTTTCTTTTCTTTCCAAATATCTGTCAAGCAAGGAGATTCAATACTTAACTTTAAACTTGACTATAAATCATTTTATATGAGAATTTCAATTCAGAAAAGACTCAGAAAAAGTTTTTGAAAATGTTCTACTCATTTTGATATGTCTGATGGCTTCCTGATAACGAAGTAATGCCCGAAGGGAAAGAAACAGAATCGTTTTTCTAGATGTACTCAAGCAGATGTTTTCACAGCTGTGCATTTCAACCACGATGTCATCTGCTTGGGATATATTTTCATTTTTTTATCATCAAAACAGTAATAACATTTCAGTACTAAATCATGGATATACATCAACATTAGAAAAAATAAGCACAGAAGTAAGCACATGAGAACATCTATAAGTAAAAAAAACATATCTTTGCATGATAATGATAAAAAAATCAAGAATC